ATAAGGAAAGAATACAGAGAACAGGACAAAATAAATTTTCAAATAGAAAATGTTGCAAAATTTGCAACTTGAAGACATTTAAGCCCCATTTGAAGAATCACACTAATTTCTGAGAAACACATTTACATTTTTTGTATTGGATCATATTGTTGTGCAAGTGGAAAAACAAGGATGAGGACAAACTTTTACCATACCAGAGAAAGAAACAAAGTGATAATAATCAGACTTGCATCAGACTTCTCATTAGAAAAAAAGGAAACAAAGTCAGCAGGAAGTAGACACATATCTTAAAAAGGCTGAGGCAAAATAAATACTCCATATTTCTATACCCAGATAAACTACCATTTGAATGAGATGATGAATCAAGACATTATCAGATATACAAAAATCAAAAGTTAGTTTGCTCTCCACAGCTGCAGGAGTGAAAGTGTTTCAGTAAGACAGAAGAGATGCAGTATACCAGATTGAGGAATTTGGAAGAAGGAATAGAGCATATTTTGTTCTTTTACTCTTCTCTTTCTCTTTTGGTCTTGCTTATCTGCAGCAAGGGCGTCTTTCGTCATTCTGTCCTTCTCCCTTTGTGTGATAAGGATAATGGGACGGGATCTGCCCTGCCTGTGTGAAGAGACATCTATAATCAAGGATACATATTAGATGAGATTCCCCAGAAGCAGACCTCTGGAATCAGTGACTTGAATTCAAGTAGTCCATGTGAGAGTTAACAGCAGAAAGCACTGATAGGATAGTGGGAAATGGAGACAAGGAAAGGAAGGAGGCCAATACATGGTTTCATTAGTAAGTAGGTAATATCTGTGCACAACTGAGGCTCAATTGTACTGGAAACAATGTATAAAATATGACTAGAGTTGTACCACCTGAAAGAAGAGGAATCTAGGATATTTTTCATTCTACTTTTTCCAACATTTAATAATGGTTGCCACCAGATAAATTAAACGGCCCCCACACGGCTAAACATACTCTTGCAGTAAAATAAGCCCTCAGTCTAAAAGTTGTAGACTTCTTTTTTTTTTTTCATGGTGAGCATTGGTCTGTACAGGGACAATTAGCACCAAGGAGAGGTATGTAGAGTACTATCAGCATTGGCCACAGGAGGGTAATTTGGAGGAGAAAAGAAGCCCATCTGCCTGCAGATCTGAACCACACTTTTGAACTGACTAATCAGAATTAAGGCAAAATTTAATCTCCATTTCTCTGGACACATATGTCATATTTTTCTATTCTTTGTTAACTCAAGAGAAAATATGTATATTATTTATAAATTTCTTAAAATTTCTAGTAGCCTAATGTTCAGTTATAACACCTAAAATAATGGAAAGGAGAAAAACATAATAAAAATCGTAGCAGAAAGAAAACAATTTTTAGAAATATATTTCAAATATCAAAAATCACAATAAATGCAAATTAGTTAAACAAAACCACATTTTACATATATAAAAAGCACCTTAATTTTAAAAGTGGGGGAAACATAGAAAACACAACAAGACTGCAAATAGATATGCTACCCTACATATCAAACTATGTCCCTGCACACAGTTTAATTGTTTTTTGCCTGTATAAGTGGGATGAGAAGTGATTGCTCTCACAGGGGCTCAGTTCTCCTGAGAATTCCACTTCTGTACAATTTTCTCTTTGTTCTCATTATTAGACTTCAAAATCCCATCATGACTCTGCATGATATTATTTTAAAAGGACCAAACTAAGCTGAGCCAATTTTGTCATCATTTATTGAAATGATATATACTTTTAGTATACACCAGCTTCTCCCCAAACTGATATTTGCAGCGTGTTTGCAACCACAGGCAGAGAAAACACCCTAAGATAAAAATTAAATTGATTTATGTTGAAAAGTTATACACTGACTCAAGTCTTTTAATATCTACCCTCATTTGCTATTCACAGATACAATTCTGTAAGGTATGTGGAAGATACAATAATTTTATTATCTCTGTATCACAAGGAAACTGAGATCAGCAGATGGTAAATAACTTTCTGAGTAAACAGAAAAATCCATGATGAAGGCAATACTTAGAGCCTGGCTTCCTAGCTCCATGTTAATGATCTTTTCTCCATCGCTTCATGCTTCAGGGACCTTGGAAACTTTTGACCAGAATATGAGAGAGAATTTCTCCTGTATTATTTACACCTTCTTCTAGGGATGAATTTCTGATTTAAGACTCATAGTTCTGGATTTTCCTTCTCTTCTTTTCAAGAGCAAGGTAAGCTTCTATATTCAACATACACCTTTAGTGAAAAATGTAATTGATGCATAAGCAGTGGGAAAGCTTCATCTTCTATGAGTGTTTGAGCATATATCTGGTTGTTTGAACACTTTTTCTGAAGCATTGGCGTAAGTACAGCATTCAAATGAAAAACATATTAACCAGCAGAAAGTAGGGTTCATATTTATGAAATTCCATGCTGTTTTCCTTAAAAGGACAGCAAAAATCTGTGATAGGTGATACTTTGATTGAGTAGGTGGTAAATTCCTCCTGTTTATTGTGTGTTGACTTGTCTTTGAAGGGACTGCTAACCAGAGTGAAATGACACTCTATACTCCAGAAGGATCATCAAGAAGCTACCAAGATCCTTACTCTATTTTCACTATCATTTCCCCACTATCTAACCCTTTCTTTACTTGCTTATTGAGAAAATCTGACAATGCAGTGACAAAAGGAACAGGTATTGGGATCAGGTAGACAGCAATTTGTATGTTAAACATCTGAAACTAGGTGTGGATGCTTTAACAAAGCACATAACCTCTCAAATCCTCCATTTTCTTAACTGTAAATTGGAATATGTGTGCATATAAAATATATATCCCTTCCTCCTCTTCTATTTCTACTTATCTACCTAACTACCTATCTACCCATCTATCATTCATCAGTATAATCTATTATCTACATATCTATCTCTCCACTTATGACACAAACTACACATAAGCAGTAAGTCTAAGCCTTTACTAGCCTCAGGATATCTATTAGTCATCACAGAACATAGCAATTGATATACGTGTGTGTATATATAGATGTCTATATACATATGTCTGTCAGTTATCATACTATAGCTGTTGCATATTGTTGTGTTGCTGAAAGCTATGCCACCGATATTTCAAATACCAGCAGGGTCACCTACGGTGGACAGCTTTCAGCAGACCTTCTAGACTAAGACAGACTAAGAAGCAGGAACTTTCCAAATATTTATTAAAAAACTGGTCATGAAAACACTATGAATAGCAGCAGAACATTGTCTAATGTAGTGTCAGAAGATGAGAGGATGGCACAAAAATACCAGGCAGGATTCCACTCTGCTCTCCACAGCGTCACTAGGAATTGGAATCCACTTGATAGCACTAAAAACAAATATATACTTAAAACTTATATTATTATATGGTGACATGTTGACAAACACAAATAATTTAAGCGTCAGACATGTATAATAATGTGTTTAGGGCCCAGGAGGAAGATGGTAGAGAATAATGGTTACCAAAGAATGGATATTTTACAAGATTTCAATCGAAAATACCAATATTTGTGCTTTCTCATTAATAGATCTGCAGATTAGTATCAACCCACCAACTATGAATTTTCATCCCTGAATACCTGACTATCTTTGATCCAGCTAAGTGTCAATAGAAATGGCTGTAAAAATGAGTCTTTAGACTCACCCAGCTAAGTGTTGATAGGAATGACAGTAAAAATGAGTTCTTAGACTCATTCTATCTTAATAGAAGAGAAGTACTTCAACACAAGCTAAAATGTGGATCTCAGGAAAAATATTAAGAAAAAGAGGATTTGAAGATCCCTGCATTCTCATGCAAAATCGTTGACACACCATGAAGATAGAGTGAGAAATATGGGAAAATAAAAAATATCTGAGTAGACAGTATTTAGGAAAATATAATTGAAAGATTAAGGCAACTACTTTAAAACTCACCCATTTGCATCTGTCACCTCCTTTTCCTAAACCAACATAGAGACCATCACCCTATACTCATAATAATATTATAACTAAACACATTGTGCTGTTTTTATGCATCATTTCTTTTAACTCTTACAATAATCACTTGAGGTAGGTCCCAACCCCACCTTCATTTTAATAATGGATAAGATGAGACCCAGGGAAGTTAATCTAGAACCAGTTTCTCCTAGGTAGTAAATGGTAGGACTGACATGTGAATGCATACACAAGTCTTCTCAGAGCCAAAGCTTTTACACCCAATGCTTTACCTTCTCTTCAAAAGTGGCTTTGTTGGTTGTACATGCCTCTAATGCCACATTTAGCCCACTGCAGGTACTATGCATTTATTTGTGAATTACTCACCTATGCTACTCCATGCATTAAGTTCAGTGCAATAGAGACAATTAAATGTGAGTTGAATAAAATTAAAATCAACTCAAATTCATTAACAGCATTTAAGTTGGGAACCACTTTGATTGGGTCTAAACTTTGGCTTTGTCCATTAATACATGTGTAATTTTGAATAAATTACTCAATATCTATGTTGCCAAGTCACCAGATATTTAAATGGGAAAAATAACTAATCAATCTAATAGGGTTGATAAGAGGATTAAATGAACATATGCATATAAAGCACCTGGCATGTGAACACTATGGAAGTGTAAGCTGTTAGAAGACTCAAAACATCTGATTTAGGAAGTGGATTGATTCCAGGCACGTGAACTTGGACAACTCATTATCTCTTCCTGCAGCTCACTTGACTCATACACAAAATCAAGAAGTTGGGAAAGTGATCCATAACGACTCTTCATCTTCAAAAGTCTGTTACTATTTAGATGAGTGTCACTAAGTTGTGTTTGTCATACCCATGCTTTAGAAATGGAGAATATTGAAGAATAAATTATTACTATCATAAAATAATGCTTGTACATTTCAATTTCTGTGCAACTGTTTTTTGTTCATCAATGTATTCCTTTACTTCTTTTTGCTATACAGCATCTCATGATTCTCCAATCACATCCATGGAGAATAATACAGAGGTGAAAGAATTTGTCTTGCTAGGACTAACCAATGCCCCAGAACTGCAGTTTCCACTCTTTATAATATTCACCCTCATCTACCTCATCACTCTAATTGGGAACCTGGCGATGATCATGTTGATCCTGCTGGACTCTCATCTCCACACTCCCATGTACTTTTTCCTCAGTAACTTGTCTTTAGTGGACTTTGGTTACTCCTCAACAGTCACTCCAATGGTGATGTCTGAGTTCCTTATAGGAAACAAGGTCATCTCCTACAATGCATCTGCTGCTCAGATGTTCTTTTTTGCAGTCTTAGCCACTGTGGAAAAGTACCTCTTGGCCTCTATGGCCTATGACCGCCATGCAGCAGTGTGTAAACCCCTACATTATGCCACCACCATGACGATAAGTGTGTGTGCTCGTCTGGCCATAGGCTCTTATGTCTTTGGTTTTCTGAATGCTGCTATTCACATTGGAGACACATTCTGTCTCTCTTTTTGTATGCCCAATGTGGTGGATCACTTTTTCTGTGATATTCCAGCAGTCATGGTTCTGTCTTGCTCTGATAGGTATGTAAGTGAGCTGGTTGTTCTTTATGTAGCCAGCTTCAATGTCCTTCTTGCTCTCTTGATTGTCATCATATCTTATATTTTCATATTTATCACCATCCTAAAGATGCACTCAGCGGTAGGATATCAGAAGGCTTTATCCACCTGTGTCTCCCACATCATTGCAGTCTCCATCTTCTATGGGACTATTATCTTTATGTACTTACAGCCCAGCTCCAGTCAGTCCATGGACACAGACAAAATTGCATCTGTGTTTTACACTATGTTCATCCCCATGCTGAACCCTATGGTCTATAGCCTGAGGAACAAAGAGGTCAAGAATGCATTCAAGAAGGTTAGTGACAAAGCAAAATATTCTCTGGGTTCAGTCTTTTAATGATGTAGAATCCACAAAAGTTATTTCATCCCTCTTAGATCTACTCCATGTCATAACTCAATGTTCATGGCCACGTAGGGTAGCAGAACATAAAATTTTATCTAATATTATTTATTTCTTTAGTTTGGGGAAGAGGTCCAAGCATCCAAAATGCAAAAAAAATCATAACTATTTTTAATAAAATTTATTTAATAAAGTATATGTGGTTTGGGGGAACATTTTATCCAGATATAAATAATTATAGCATCTTAATAAATTAATGTTTCAGTCATTACTGAGTGTTTTGGTAAGAGAAAGAATGTGACAATTTCTAAAAGATAAATGCCATTTTAGATAAAAGTGATGAGGATATTAAGTCATTTTTTGCCTTAACCTTATGACTAACAACTCTTCACATTGTGTTAAAAATAATGCACTGATATTAATAGTGATATTTTCTTTTTTTAGCAGAAATGCTCTGAAATGTTACTTCCACTCTTGATGCTTTAGTTGAGCTATATCATGTCTAATCACTCTCCTATCCACTCACCCCACTTCATTTACACTGATTTCCTGCTATTCCTGGACAACTCCACACATGCCCCTGTCTCAGAAGCTTTGCATTTGCTGTTTGCTCTTCCTGTGATATTCCCACAATCATTTCAGGTTGCTGGTTAAGTGTTACCTGCTCAAGGAAGTCATACAGGCCTTCCCTGAATTGCTTTATAATAGTCACTCCATTCTTCTTGGACCATCTTTCCTCAGCCTGCTTCATTCTTCATAGTTGTTATCAACATTCAGCTCTTGTATTTGTTTGTACACCTCTTCATCTATATCCCTCAACTTGAATGGAAACTCTCTGCAAACAGTAGCTTAATCTGGTTGTTTTATGTAAATAAAGCTTTGAATTTTTATTTAAAAATTATTTTACTGAGCATTAAAATACTCAACCAATTCCAAGTTGTATGGGTGGAAATAACTTGTAAAAACTACCAACATCAAGGGGAGAATACTCTCTAACATCCGGTGGATAATGACTCCAACCTTTGCAATAAATTAGCAGTCTCAAAAAATTTTCCACCCCTGATATTAACAGCCAGCCCTGGTGGTCTAGTGGTTAAGATTTGGTGCTGTCACCAGTATGGCGGATTTGTTTCCCAGTCAGGAAATCACACCACTTGTTTGTCGGTTGACACACTGTGGTAGCTGCATGTTGTTGTGATGCTGAAAGCTATGCCACTGGTATTTCAAGTACGAGCAGCATCACCTGTGGTCGACAAGTTTCAACGGAGCTTCCAGACTAGACAGACCAGGAAGAGGGACCTGGACTCTCACTTCTGAACCTTATGAATAGCAGTGAAACATTTTCTGATATGGAGCCGGAAGGTGAGAGGTTGTCTCAAAAGATCAGACTAGGCAAGGTTCTGCTCTGTTGTATACACGGTTGCTAGGAGTCAGAATTGACTTGACAACACTAACAACAAAAACATTGAACAATCCTTCCTCTTTTGAAATTCTCCAAACCATTTGCATTCCCACTGGCAGCCCATCAAGGACTGAGAAATATATCTGAAGATCAATTAGGATATATTTCCCATTTCCCAAGGTAACATCTGAATAAAATGTTTACCAATCATACACTGACTCAGTATTTATTTGTTTTACCACTGAACTTACACTCTGTTGTAACATCCTTACACTTCTGCTGAAATGAAGGTGATAGAAGATGGTTTCCCTTCCTGCAAGTTTATGAATAAACTTCCTTTGTTAATTTTATATTGGACTTAGCTTTTTCTTTGATATACTTCAGAAGAGGTAATGAAGGATAATGAGTAAGAAACAAAACATTTAAGAGATTGGACCCTGCATAGTGGAAAATGGAGTTTTCCCCAGAGAGAAAAATCAGAGTCTCATAAAGAAATATTTCACATCGCCAGAGTTGAGGGACCTTCATAATGTCAATTCAATAAGATTTCTAAACTGAAATCTTGTGTATCTTCCATTATTTTCTGTTATGGATAGGAGTTTTTTTGTCTAATTATCTTTACTCTGGTCCAGCATTATTTACTGGGTGTGAACGCAGAATGAGCTAAGTTTTCTTTTTAGTGCATAAGTTGCTAGACAACAAGAAATCACATCTGGACTGGGTGGAGAGGACCACTTAACCTCTTTGATAGCCTGAACATTGAACTTATATATTGATAAGTTGGGATTTAGGTTGTCTCCCTGTTGGAGGTAGTTTATAAATTTTCTGTGTGGGAGGAAGTATAAAATGGGTATTTGATGATCACAAGCATTACAATGGAAAAGACTGGTTAGTTATTTTCCAAACTATTTTCTTTTTACTGCTGGGAATATATGCAGGCTCTATTTCTTATCCTTCATACAGTCGATTGTGGCCACGTGCTTGTGTTCTTGTCAATGAAATGTGATACGTCATATGTGCCACTTCTAAGTCTGGCCCATGAAACTCCTTGTGTCGTCGTCTGCCCCTTCTCTTTCCTTATCGTCAGCTGGATGGAGAGGATGAAGAGCACAAGAGATGAAAAAACCACTAAATCGTAAGAACATGGGTCACTGAATCTCTTTATATGTTCCCACAGAACAATTAATTGAACAATGTAAGAGCATGAAAAACCTCTATGGCCATATCATGGCAATTTTGGAGTTTGCTTACATGGCAGCCAGTATTATTTACCCTAACTGATATAGAGAGATTCTCATGACAATCTGGATGCCGTTGGGGTTGGGCGGGTGATATATACTGGAAAAACTATCAAATTTCTCCAACACAATTTAATTCTATGATTATTTATTTGTGAATCCTCACCCAGCCTCCAAATCATAACTAAAATGGCTAGCACAAGTAAAATTAGCACAGGTTTTGGAAACAGAAGAAATTCAATTTGAATTCCATTCCAAACAAACTTTGTGTTATAAGGCAAGTTATTTAAGTGGTTTCCACTGGGGAAACTAATGTCTTTCTCACAGAATTAAATTAAGTGGGTACTGAATGAGCCAGAACATTGCACAGTGCCTAAAACAGAATAGCTGCTCAAAATATCTTAGTATCCTTTCCCTTCCGTTCATTTTCCTATCCTTCTTTCATTTCATCCTCTGCTTTGTCAACATTCTCCATATACTATTAAAACACTGATAAATTGTATTGATTTGTTTTTACAGGTTTAGCTGTACTACTGAATTGTGGACACTTTGATACCAAAGATGTTTTAGTTATGTACTCTCAGAATCTAATGTTTATTCCCTAGTAGAACTCAAGAGTGTCTAATAAAATTGCAATTCAGTGTAGGAATAAACTTACATAGGCCAACTTCCTCACTATTAACTAGGCCCCCAAATTTTTCTCTCTATCATCTTTTCCTTCATACTACTGATCAAAACATATATTGTATATTCATTTTTGTGTGTATTTACTTCTTTGATTTGTCTTCCTCATTAGAATAAAAGTTCTATACACACTGGAACAATTTCTGATTTGTTCACCAACAGAGATGCAAGGCTAGCTCAGAGTTGGTCTCAGGAAAAGATTTTAACGAGCAAATGAATGATAAGAGGAACTGAACAGAAAAACTCATCATCTGTTTGTAAAAACAGAACACAACAAAACATGCTAGGTCATGCTACTGTAACACATTAAATTGAAAACCCAATGGCTTAAAACAACAAAGAGTTTATATTAGTTTCTGATGGTTGCTGTAACAAATTACCACACACTGGGGGCTTAAAACAACATGCATTTATCTTCTCACAGCTCAGGTGGCCTTATGTTGGAAATCAGTTTCACTGAGATGAAACCAAAGTATCAGTCTCCAGAGGCTCTATGAGGAGGGTCTGTCCCTTGTATGTTTCATCTTCAGATGGCTGCCAGCATTCCTTAGTTTTATTTGTGTCAATCTAATCCCCGCCTTTGTGGTCATGTTATTTTCTTCTCTTATTGTCTAATTTCCCTCTCCTTCTCCCATTTCAATTTATATGAAATGTAAATAACAAAATTTACTATTTTAAAGTGTACAATTCAGTAGTATTTAGTACATTCACAATGTTGTGCAACCATCACATCTATCTAATTCCAAAATTTTTTCACTCACAAAGATCCTGTACTCATTAAGGCCTCCTACCCCTGGGAACAAATAATCTGCCTTCAATCTGTATTAATTCACCTATTCTGGATATATCCATGTAAATAGAATCATATAATATATGACCATTTATGCCTGACTTCTTTTACTTAGTATAATGTTTTTTGACTTATCCATGTTGTAGCATGTATCAATACTTCATTTCTTTTTACGGCTAAATAATATTCCATTGTTTATATATACCATATATATATATATATACATTTTGTTCATACATTCTCAATTGATAGACATTTGAACTGTTTTCTTCTTTTGACAATTGTTAGTAATGCAACATGAATACTTGTGTTTGTGTACGAGTATTGTCTGATGAACTGTTTTCATTCCTTGGGCATATAACTATGAGGGGAATGGCTGGTTCATGTGAAAATTATATGTTTAACATTTTATTTTTTTGGTGAAGAAGACTGGCCCTCAGCTAACATCTGTTGCCCATCTTCTTCTTTTTTTTTGCTTCAGAAAGATTGGCCCTGAGCTAACATCTATGTCAATCTTCTTCTATTTTTTGTATATGCGATGCCACCACAGCATGGCTTGATGAGCAGTGTGTAGGTTCGCCCCCCGGATCTGAACCCACGAACCCCAGGCTTCCAAAGTGGAGCACGTAAACCCAACCGCTACGCCACTGGGCCAGCCCCAATATGTTTAACATTTGAAGACCACTAAACTGTTTTCCACAGCAACTGTCTCATTTCACATTCCCGCCAGTAATACACAAGAGTTTGAATTTATCCACATTCTCACCAACACTAGTTAGTTTCCATTTCCTTTTATAGTAGCCATCCTAACATGTGTAAAATAATATCTCATTGTAGTTTTGATTTACATTTCTCTAATGACTGACTATTCTGAGCATATTTC